ATGCGACATGACGAAACGTTCGGTGGGGCACTTGAGGGAGCTTTCTATAAAAGACGGGAAATTTCTTGACAAATGAAACTGCAGCCAGCTCCTCGGAACGGGGGTCTTGCCATTTTGCGAATGTTCTTTTCTTTTTAAACTATTTCCATAAAATCGATACTTGTTGAAATTAGTTTTAGGCTATAAATTATTATTTTATTACGACTCCTCTCCCATGTTTATGTTACGGATGTTCTAAACTGTTTGCAGTGTTGTGAGGGACACAGGCGTGTTTGCGCTTAAACCAAGCATCGGCTTTCCGTAGTCTCGTGAAGACGTCGAGAGTTTATTTGAAACGTTTTTGGTTGGCGAATGTCGGCAGAAACACGCGGCCGTTTGTGCCCCTGAACGGAACGTAAGATGCGACGCGCGAAGACGCTCTGCGTCGCGCTGATGTTGCGCCTGCATGTGCCGAATGCGCTAGTTTAAAACGCGTTTAGTGCAATTCTTCACGCCCTGAGTAAAATTCGAGGCGTGATTTTTTGTGGAACATAAAGGCATTTCGCAGTCCTGACGCGAAGAAGCTCAGGACATGAAATTCTTCTTATCTTTCTACTCTCATATTAAGGCTATTGGCTACGCTCATTGTGGGCCCGCGTAAATTCTGTCGGGCTTTTTAAATGCTCGAGAATAAAGAGAATGAAATTCGAATCGCAGGGGAAAGTGAATTTTAGATGAAGAAAAAGCGAGCGTCTTTGTGGCTTCAGGGAGTCTGTGCCGCCGCAGAGCAGAAGGTAATAAGGTTTGTTTCGCAGAGTCTGATATGCAAAAATGTATGGAACAGACGCTTTATTACGTAGGAAGCAAACGTAAGCCCGTGTTCTTTTCAAGCCGCGCGTGGAGAAAATCGTGTCCTAATGAAAACGGAGGGAACTGCTGCTCCGCTCTTCAGCGTCGTTTCTCCCCCTTCCCCTATCCCTTTTGGTTTTTCGCTAAATTCTCCTTTTCAGATGAGGAAAGAGTTTTTGATCTCTCCATTACACACAATTCTTGAAATTCCTGGCGCGCAGAAGGAGGAAACATTTCGAACTTCTTCCCTCTACTCGTCTCTGGCTGCACGGAATTTCGGCTCTCCTGCTGCCTCGTCTCTCTTTTGTGCCCCCCCCCCCTTATTCCGAAGAAATGAACGCGCGTCTCTTCACTTGGTGGTCGTCTCTTGGTCCTGGCTAGAGGAGGCCGACGTCGATCTGAGACGGAGAACTCTTAAAATGCCTGTCCCGGGGATCAAACAAAGCCCAGTGAAGGGCCGGACGAAGATCGAATGTCGATTACTTTAATAGACGGGGGTGTCTCTGACGTCCGCTTCGTACTTTCGTATAATTGCCTTTCTCGTGTCTGTCATTCAGCACGGCATTGAGGGCGCAGAGAGTTCTCATGTCAAAAAGAACATTCCAAATCGCTAAGCCATTCTCGTACGTTGTCTTCGCCTGTCAGTTTGTTTGTTAATTAACTGTCACATGAAGTATGAAATGTCGTGGCGATATTTATTCAGTGCTGCTGAGATGCTGGTAGTTGGACGTTTTCATGTGCAATAGTAGCCATGTGTCGGATCGAAACGTCCGCTGGAAGGTTTTAAGGCATATTTTACGATATTTTTCCTTCTGTTTGTACATTTGGCACCGCGTAACACGTAATTTTATTAGTAAATATTCAGCTTTTACACAAAACGTAGCTGTTCGTAATTTTATCCTTGTCAGTCTTCCGCTAAATAAATTAAACGAAACTGCTGTTACATATAATACGATTTCTTACCTGCAGTTCCGTCTTATGTTCACTGTAAACTGCCGCCTCGCACTTACGATTCAAACTAAACGAATGCCGGAACTTGAGAGCGTCTGTCTGTATTCAGGTGTTACTGCGTTTATGGCGCAGAGCCTGTGCACTGAACGCGCGTGAGGCTCCGGCCGTCTTACTCCCGCTAGGAGGCTGTGTGGTCCGGGACCCGGTAAAAGAGCGTTCGGTTCTCCCAGGACCGGGACTCCATCTGCCGGACGCCGCAGACCTCGGTGCTACCAGCTCACTGAAGAGCATTCCGTAGAGGCGTCGAAGACCTGTCCGTCTTACATGAATGCGTGTTTGTAAAATGGTTTTTAACAAAATTCGTAACGCGGTTTGCCCTCTGCTCTTCTGAGACAGCCATCGCTCCTCAAATTACATCTAAGATCAGAATCATCTGCAGGCGCTGAATGGCAAAGCAGTGGCCTTTTAAGTAACTTAAATTAAGCGCTCCATAACCTGTACTCACCTGCCTTTTAAGTAACTTAAATTAAGCGCTCTCACCTCCAAATATGAAGGTGATATGGGCGAGACATGTAGCACGTATGGGAAGGGTGAGGAATGCTTACGTACATTTAATCTAAATTCTGGGGGGGAAGAGTCCACTTGAGTGACTGGGAATAATATTAAAAAGAGTGGACTTGATTAAAGTGGCTTTTGAATAGCATCTGGTAGCGCAACGGACCTCCTGATTACACAAAAAGTGACGTCTCTTTCGAGCCATTTTCCCGGCCCACGCGACAAAGCTGAGAGTGCTGCAGTGGCGCGGTGTTACCGGACTGAAAACGCCGTCATTTCAGTTCACACATGGCCGGTGAACAGCCACACCGAGTGTACACGCTCCGACTGACGTGAGCCCTCAGCCGAACAGCAGCGTTCAACATTCATTCGATTTTGTGTACGGCCTGCAAGTGTTCGTGAGAATCACTTCCGTTCTGGCACTACGGAAATTCAATGCAGTTGACCTGAAATCAAACCGAAGCCCTCTTCTAGCTCATTCCACGTGCCCCCTCGGCCTAATAGCATTTAAACTGACGGATTTAATGAATCTTTGTGCCTTTTGTGTTTCGCACGATTCTCGGGAAAAAAAACATCAGTTACTTCCCTAAAACAACCTTTGCAGTGGTGTGTTTCGCACGATTCTCGGGAAAAAAACATCAGTTACTTCCCTAAACAACCTTTGCAATGGTAAAGTGCTGTGTTTTGTTTGAGGTACGGACTGAATTTTTGAATATGGCTGAGACGAGGATTGGCCTCAGAGGGCTAATTAGTTCCGAAGAATTGGTTACGTCGTTGCATTACGATTTATGATTTGATACGTAGGCTATTTGAAATGTGTCCAAAGTCAGCTGAGGCAGGCTGCATTTGTTACAGCCGAAACTGTAATATTCCTATCGGTTTACATTCCAGTACATGTTTTAAGAGAGTTGTAAGCGTTTTCCTACAGACTGCTTGTACTGAAGTTCCGCATAATCTTATTTAAGTCGGGTGAGGCGCAATGTAGTTACGTCGTCAGCATTTTTTCCTCCAAGACTCGCGGTTAAATATGACGTTAATTACATCATCTTGCTAGGAGGTCCTCGAGTTTTCCAATTTCTTCTCTTGCCCTCTTCTTCGTGTTGTT